TTCTTCACTACACGCGAGCATTAGAATTCAGGACAAGGAAAAATGAAAATAAAATTGCTAGAAAAAATAGTAAGTTTACAAACTAAGATGCTGGTCATAAATTCATAATGATTGATCATGTTGACTCCTAAACCAAACCAAACTTTTCTTCAAAGAAAGAAATAGAGAAGCACTCTAGTTCTGATTTTACATCCACACATACTAAAATGATGGTGGTGAGACCTGCAATGCTTTATGGAGCCGAATATTGGCCATTAAAAGAGAAGGATAATACTAAGTGTTGTGGAGATGAGGATGCTCAGGTGGATGAGTGGCTTTACACTTAGAGATAGGATACGAAATGAGCATATACGTGAAAAGGTTGGAGTAGCTCCAGTGATAGATAAGATTAGAGATTGTTGCCTTATATGGCTTGGTCATATAAAACGGAAGCCTTTCGATGACCCGGTTAGGAAAGTAGAGGTATTAAATTTGACTTATGTTAAGAAAGGTATAGGTAGACCTAAAAAGACTTCGTTAGAAAATATTAGAAATGATCTTTCTTTATTAGATTTAAATGAGAATTCGACTTTTAACATGACACAATGGAGAAAGGATTCATGTAGCCAACCCCACGCAATGGGACAAAGGCTTGTTGTTGTTGTTGCATGCTAAAATTATGGTTACTGCTGGTAGACACATTCCTACTATAATATTCCATACACCCTGAATGTTTTTTTTTTATTCCTAGTTTACTCCTAAAGACTGTAAAACACTCCAAATCTAATACTAATTTGCAAAAAAGTTCAGCACACAGTTCAGATTAGTTGGTTAGAGTTCCCCCTTCTTCTCAGTTTGAGGTGAGCGAATCCAAATCTCACCACAAAATACTTTGCAACAACGTATATATGACTGTATGTAAACATTTAATTGTTTCACTTGATAATAGAAGATGCTACATCTCTAGAGACACAATCTACTGTAACAGAGAATACCCACCTTCATCAAGTGTTCTAGTTTACCAGATTGATGGCTGAAACAATACAGATTCCTGCACATATCAAGAAAATCAATAACCAGTGAGTATGGCCAGCAAAAAACAGAGGATTGAAAATGGAAAAAATGGAAAATGCAATTAAATATCATAATTTTTTAGGAAACCAGAAACATAAAACAAGATAGCAAGGTTCTATGGGGTCTATTGGCTAGCTCAACGATGGAATATGTAATTCACCAATTTAAATTGAATATAATGATAGATAAGGAGTTAGCCCATTCACAACTATAAGTAAATTAAACCCGGCACACTTTCATTTTAGTTTTGGAATGCATAAATCCATGAAGCAATGAATGCCAATATACAGGACGAAGAATTAGCAAGGAAATTTGCTACAATGTATAAAAAGGGGGAAATAAACAGCACATACATGTCTTCACCAACACAGTAGATCCATTCTCCTTTTGGTGAAACACAGGCAGCAACAAAGTCTCCACCTTCTCTTTTACCAGATGAAAAGCTCTTCACCACCTGTAAAACAATTTTTTGAGGAAATAACAGCTTAATTATAAACGGAATTTGACCAGATAAAAAAGAAAAGAATTTACCGAGCATCAAAAAATATTTCATTAGTCAATCACCTAAATTAAAAAAACTTTGCACTAAGTCGAGTGTAGACTACTAGAAAGGAACCACGTGAGTTCCTTTTCAAAGTCATGATGAAGGTGTTCAGAACTCCTAAAAGAACAAGTGCTTTATCCTCGTATAAACAATCGATACCCCTATAAAGAGAATTATTCCATGGGCTTCAAATTTGCTAAACTGATTTAAGCTCAGAATCTGATATAGATCAGATAAACATAATGTCAAAAACCCGATTGCTAAACAGATTTAATCTAAAAATCTGATACAGATCATATAAACATAGAGCCTCAAACCCTAAAGAAATAGCAGACAAATGCTGGTAAAGTGACTTTTGTTAAAAAGGAGAAAGTATAGCCAGCATGGAAAGAGCATTTGAGGGGAAAAAATCAAAGAAATTTCAAAAATGACATGACGGGAAGAAAAGGAATGGATCATCGCCAACTTGAATACCTATATAATGAATAAATTAATCTCATCAGCAAGTTGAATTTGTTTCTGAACATGCTGGACAAATACATGTCCAAACGAAGTAATCAACTACAGGTAATATATGAAATCTCAAATATACACAACAACAACAACAACAACAACAACAAGCCTTTATCCCACTACATGGGGTCGGTCGGATACATGAATTTTTTTTCTCCATTATATCCAGTTAAGAGTCAAAATTCTCATTTAGATCTAATAAAGAAAGATAATTTCTAATATTTTCTAACAAAGTCTTTTTAGGTCTACCTCTACCCCTCTTAACATAGGTTAAAACTAATACATCTATCATGTGATCTCAAATATACACATGCAGCATAAATATGTAATCAATAGATTACTACTAAGATATGGTGTACGTAACAAGTATTAAGGAAAAAAGAAAAGAAAGAAGAATAATTTACATATTCCCTCTTCATTGAGAGCAAAAGTACCTGTCCTTGAAGAGTCATGAGGTAAATTGATGATGTCTTGTTGCATACTAATATGTGTTCAGTATTTTTTGGAAACAGATGAACAGAGTTCACTGATGCATCACCACCCTAGAAAAGATGAAAAAATAAGGTTACTTTCAAAAATAAGAACTGAGACAACATGGGCCAACAGACTGAATCTCAAGTGGTACCCTTAAAGGAGGGGGCGGCTTGAAAGTCTGTAAA